TGGACATCAGGAATTCAGCCTCGGCTGTTTCCCCCCTCAAACGTAACCTTCAGCTGTTGGATATCTCTTCCTATTTTGTAAATTCAGCCTGAACTGTTGCTACACGAGGCTGAGGGCCCCTCTGGAGTCAGTGTGTGACCTTGGGCAGACGATGGAAGGGTTCGGATACGAGCACTTCGGAGATGGAGGAAGGGAGAGCGTGCAGGTGGACTATCGCAGGGTTGTGGGGGACACTCAGCCGTCAAATGTCTCGTCCAGGGAAGGGGAGCATTATTTAAGACACGTCTTGCACGTTCATGGACATGAAACTGCAGCTCAGAGATACAACGCCACAAGGATCCAAGCAGGTCTTAGCTCAGAAAAGTGAGTATGTGAAACTTTAGTTGTGCTGAAAGACGTCTGAATTCGGTCAGTCTGAATGTGTAGAAGTCCTGACCGTGAAAATAAAAGTGCAAAAGGTTTAAAACGACAAAGTTCTTTCCAGAGTCAAAATCGAAATGTCTAGTCCTCTGGCTGCTGTGACATGGAAACTAGAGAAAATGCTTTTTCTGTGAAAATGCTGACAGCTGAACTTTGTTGAAGAAGCTGAAACTGACATTTTAAAGCTAAAAGAACACTAGCTAAAAAGAGCAGAATGATATTAAAAAGAATGAAAAAAGGGAACGTAAAAGCTAAACAAAACAAAACACGAGCTCAAAGCAACAACAACAAAAAAAGGCTAAATGCTTGCTATAAGGAGCAAAGGGTCAGCAGCAAATAAGTAGTTACAGTAGCAAAAGATTAATTAAAGGCTAAAAGTGACAGAATAGGAGCTCAAAACTAAAAGCTGCAAAAGACTAGTAGAAATTAAAAGTAGCCAAGACTAGCTAAAAGCTAAAAGTGGTTAATGGCTAGTTAAAAACTCAAAGTTACATAAAACAAAAGAGCAAGGATGCTGAAAGAGACTTCACAGAGAACAGTGTTTTTTTTTAAGGAATTTAATTTATGCTTTGAGGAAAACGTTTCTAATTAAAGGGAAATATTAGGAAATGTATAAAAGTTGTATAAACCAAATGTCGTAGTACACACGTCCTGCAAGAGCCGAGCATTGTGATAAACCATTAAAACAGCATGAAGTGTGAAGTAGATTGCGAAAACATCTGGAAAAATAAAATCCAGTAAATCAAGAGTTCTGAATCAGCGTTCACCCAATCAGCTCAGTGTTATCAGTTCAAATTTCACCTACTGGTTTGCATGTCCTTTGCATTGACTGTTGCACCTCATTTAGTGGCAGGTTAAAGACTGCGCATAAAAAAACTAACAACATCCTGTCTTTAGCTGGCAGGTGTTAGTTTTAACCCTCAGCACGCAGCGCGAGGGAGGATAAACAAAGCGGAATGGAGTGCTCAGAATAGCTACAGTGCATAAAGGAATCACTGACCCGTGTATGTAATGACCCACATTTAACATCACATAGACACAACGTGAGTAATGGACCCCTCCCCCCACCTGGTGGTAAAATGTTTCCTCCTGCTTGTAAACAGTCAGCTGTTTGATTACATGACATCGCTTTATATTAAAAACATCACCTGTAAACCCTACTGCACAGAGCAATTTGTAAAACACACGCACAAAAAAACTAATACTAAACTAATAAATCTAAAATTAGTCGGGTGAGGAGCAACGAGATCAAGTTTTTCTAGAATATAAGAGGGAGGTGAGATTTAGAGTCATACGAGTATTTGTTAAAACTTGTTTAGATGATTACTAAGGGTGGAGGAACGATGATGATGATGACGACCATTCCTCCACCCTAGGTAATAATCTAAACAAGTTACTCTTATGACTCTAAATCTAACCGCCCTCTAATATTCTGGAAAACCTTGATCTTGTTGCTCCTCACCTGACTAATTTTAGGTATATTATAATATTGGATAACTAGAGAAATTGCATTTCCTGTGAAAATGCAATGTGAATGCTTATTGCAGAAGAACTTGCTGAAAACAGCTAAAATTAGCTAAAAAATACATGCTGCTGAAATGTAAGAACAAACCATTAGCAAAAGAAAGTAGAAAGAACACATTTGCTGAATTAGCTTTAAATAAGCAGAAATTAGCACAAAAATTAGGAAATTAGCTAAAAAAGCTAAAATTGGCAGAAAGTAGCTGAAAAGGTAGAAATTTAAATGACCAGAAAGAAGCTAAAAGAGCTCAAATGAGCTAAAAAATATAGAATTAGCTGAAAAGCTAAAATTAGCACAAAAAAAAAAAAACAGGTAAATAGCTGAAACAGCAGAAACAGCTGTAACTAGCAGAAAAAAAAGCTGAAAGGACGATAAGAAGCTTAAATTTGCATAAAGAAGTTAATTAGGCTGTAGGTAGCAGGAATTACCAGGAAAAATGTGGATTAATCTGAAAACAGCTTAAATTGGCAACAAAAAAATGCTTAAAAGGTAGCTAAAATTAGCTTAAATTAGCAGAAGAAAGCAGAAAGAACACATTTGCCCACTTACGCTGAAAGAAGCAGAAATGAGAACAGAAATCATTTGAAAAAGCTGAAATTAGCAAAACAAACAAACAAACAAAAAACAGCTGAAAAGTAGCTAAAAGGAAGAAAGTAGCTTAAATTACCAGAAGGAAGTGGAGAGCATATTTTTTTGCTAAATTGAGCATAAAAAAAGTTGAAATGAGTACAAAAAAATGTGGAATTAGCTGAAAAAGTTAAAATTAGCATAAACAGCTAAATAGTAGCTGAAATAGCAAAAAAAAAAAGATGAAACTTGCAGAAATAAGCTGAAAAGAGCTTAACAAGCTGAAATTAGTAGAAAGAAGTTAGAAGAAGCACAAAAATGTTGTAGTTAGCTGAAAGAACCTGAAAGGAGCACAAAACAGCTGGAAAAAACAGCTGAAATAAGCTGAAAGTAGCTGAAAAAAGTTTAAATTTGCCCAGAACCAGAACAAAATGTGAAAGGAGCAGTAAAAGGTTGTAAACGGGTCTAAAAATTTGAAGGATGTAAAATGAGCTCATTTAATTTTCTACGAGAACAAAAATGGCAGAAAAGGCTAAATATTTAAAAAAGCTAAAGGTGCACAAATACCAAAAGTTGTAGCTGGATTGTCCTGAAAGAGCTGAATGTTTATATTTATGATTTGTTGAAATGGCACAAAAATTGTAGAATGAGAAAGATGCTGAAAAACATATTGAAGAAAACTGGATCACAACAGTGTGAACGCTTCATTAACTTTCACACAGTGAATCGGGGCTGGTGCTGACCCCCCCTGTACTAACCCAGTTAGGCTCGTTTTCATGTGACCATCATTCAGTGTCCGTTAGCTTTTAAAAGATGTTCTCACTAAGTTGAAGGAAATTAACTTAAGCATGACCCTTGTGATTTCCAATCAATAGACCTGTTTGTATTTGTAAACCTGTTTGAGTGAACAGTTAATCCATGTAATTTCCTCTTTCACGGGGTTAAATCGAGCACACATTATCAAGGATCTGATCTTTCATGTTGGTTTGACTTTTACTGCTACATCTTGTAAAGCACAAGCAGTTAAATCCTTAGGAGGCCTTGAAGAAATGCACATGACAGAGTTTTATCATTATAACGAGAAGGGGCAGAGTTGTAGCTGTTTTAGTCAAACCTTGTAAATGACATTAGGTGCAGTCTCACGTGCGTTAAGGATCACTGTCAGCTACTATCATGTCAACTTTTAGCTGAAGAAAATTCACTGAGTTGCAGCCATTTTTGTGTTGGTTAAGACTAAGATTCAGCGGCCATCTTTAATTGGGTTGACATGAAATGGTAATGAGTTGTACACGTACGTCTTGTGATTACTTTCTAAGAGCTTTGCTAAAATCTATTAGTTGGTTCATAAGATATTTTGCTAACAGACCAACAAGGTTGATGCTAATAGTTAATGGTAAAGTACTTGGTGAAGATGTTCTGTGATGTGTAAGGCTCGGAGTATGCGTTGGGAATGACTCTCAGCTACTACCGCACCAAGTTTTAGCCTAATAGCTGTAAAACTGACAGAGTTAGAATATTTTTTGTGTTTGCTAAGGTCAATTAGCTGCGACGGCCATCTTGAAATGGTTGTCACCAACTGTTAATGGGGTGTAAATGTGTTTGATGGGAGTTTAATTAAAATCCATTTAGTGATTTGTGACATATTTTGCTGACAAGGTTGGCACCAAGAGTTCTAAGTTTTTAGTAAAATATTACTTATTGTATAGTGCTTCAAGTGCGTGCTGGAGATGACTCTCAGCTACTTCCACACCACATGTTAGCTCAATATCTGTACAATTGCAGGGGTCTGCAACCCGTGGCTCATGGGCCACATGCGGCTGTAAGTCCGTCATCTGCGGCTCTGTGAAGCTTTGACCAAAACGTACAAGAAATTTAATTGTTCTGGTTTTTGTACCCACAACAACAAAAAAAGGCTAGTTTTAGCTGTTATTTTTTGTATATTTTCTGCAAATGCTTGAACGACACAACTGTTTATTGCTTTATTACTTCAAAGTGGGATATTTAACTTCTCCTCACATAAAAGGCCACATGAGCCTGCAGAGTTCAGTGTTTTCATTTTCATCTAAAGGTAGAAACTAAAAGTTTCTACTTCTTTACATCATTTTTTTGCCCCAAAATGTAAAAATATGAATAAATGCTGAAATTAATTATTGATTATTAGTTTTAAAATTTCATTCCCTCTGATCATAAAAGCCCTCTCCAGCTTGCTCTAATCGGCCCATGGGCCACTAGTTGATCAGTTGTAGAAGGTTTTGTGGCTCCAGGCTCTTCTGAGTGAAGGGGCAGAAATGGCTCTTTGATCAAAAAGGTTGCAGACCCCTGGACTGTTTGCTGTAAATGATCATGTGGTGAGCCGATATATTATAAAGGGGTAAAATCAGAAATATTTGCTTTGATGTCCCAGTGAATTTTAGTCAGTGCTGTTGTGGGAGATGAACCCATGCAGGATGCAGGGGGTTAACTGGTCTCTTCGACTGGGAGGAGAGGGGATGTGACGCTGCTGCCTGAACAAAAACACCAACACTGTCTGCAGACGGCGAACAGCAAGCGCCTCTCAGTCGTCTTAACTGTACTATTTTCCCATCTTGGACCCGCGAACCAGCATTATCATATTCATCCATCCCTCCCTTAAGGTAACGACTGGATCCGTAGTTCCTCTCGGTCTGTTTTGTAAAGGCTCACGTTTGGAAAGTAGCTTTTTTTTTTTTTTTTTTTTGTCAACGTGGGCATCTTCTGAGGAGAGTCTTTTTGGCATACCCAGTAAGGGTCGACAATGCCCCACATCACTTTTTGTGAGGAAGTTACAGTTTTCTAACACTTTCGTGTAAAAAAAAATGTAAAAGCGTACTTGAACGCCTCAGAAGCTTAAAACGAAGCCCAAGTGACAAAGCTGCTAATGCTAAATGCTAACGGTTGCTCCCACATGTCTGCGAGTCATGTGGTCCACCACAAGTTCGTCGTTATTGTTATTATTCCCGTGAGCACACACGAGTTTATAGTTTTATAACATAGCCTATCCTATTAAAGTCTATATGCATTGTAACACGCAATGCATTATGTTACATTCTTAAAGGTCTTGAAAATGTTTAACGTGGTAGTTCCAGAGCTTATTGGCTAACTTTCAGTGTTACTTATCACTTATTAGATATTTTTTAAACAAGATACAGGCTGTATTGCCAGCTGGTTGTGATTACATTGTCTGATATTACATCATTACTCCAGGCTAATTTATTAATGACTGAACATGCTAATAACAGTTGTGGCGACTAAGTAAGATTGCCTTTTCATGCATTGTTTCACCAAAGTGGAGTATTAACATTGTGTTTTATTTAAAATGTACAATCGTTTTGATGTATAACAAAATTTAACAAGATTTTGTATTCAAATGTTTCATGTAGCTTGGGTTTTATGCACGCGCTCCACACTTTAGATTTTATTACCGAACCTGCTTCAAAAACCCTTCTGAAATAAGCTAGTTTCTTCTTCCAGAGATTTAACATTTAATATTGAGGAATGTGATCGTTTGTAAAAATGTATTTTGACCCCAACTTTAATTCGGCGTAGTTTAAATGCATAAAGTTCAACTTTTTATTAAAATGTTTTAACATTTACCATTTCCCCATATCTACTATTTTTATCTGTAGCGTTCGGTAAAGTTTATTGATGGCTAAATATAACTTAAAATTAATAAAGAAGGCTAAATTAAAAATGCTGTAGCTTGTTCTTCAAACTAGACAAAAAAAAAAAAAGATGCTAAGAGCCGTAATGGATAATAATGTAACAAATGGATGAGGCGTTCAAGCACCTTTGCTTGACCGACATATACATCCTTCGGAAGTGTTTATTATCTACGTCTGTGCAGTGCTAGCAGCTAATGTTTGCTAGTTACCGATAATCTAATCTTGGTCACTTGGCCAGTCGAGATATAGATGTTTATGTTTTTCAAGCAACGCGTTTTTTAAACTTATATTATCATCCGGGTTTTTATTAATAGCTTGCACTGGTAGCTGCAGAGAAGGGTGCGTTTATGTGTTAGTAGGTCAGTCGGCCGTGTTTTGATTCCGATTTCATGATTGTCATTTGAATTTCTGGAATAACTGATTTTTTTTAATGGTACTTGTTTGCCATTTGAAAAAGGACAAATATATTTTAATAGCAATTGATGTAGTTGTCTTTATTTTTTTTTATTGCGGGCAGCAAGCTTTATATTTAGTTATAAAGGAAGTGGACATGCAGAAGCACCAGGTAGGTAATGTTGATGTTCTCGTGGTTATGTCTTACTTTCTTCCTGTTATAAGTTCAGCAGCACTCTGGTGCTCCTGCAGAACATCATGACACACTCTGCTTGTAATGGTAAAAATGGTAAATGGACTGTACTTAATACAGCGCCTTTCTATCTTATCAAGATACTCAAAGAGCTTTACAATCTGTGCCCTCATTTACCCATTCATACAGCACTCTACTATATCTATACAAATAATAATCAGTGCTTTATTACATTCATACACCGATGGCACACACATCGTAGCCAATGAGGGGTTCAGTGTCTTGCCCAGGGACACTTCAGCATGTGACTGGAATTGAGTCCACTCAGCCACAGCCCCCCCCCCCCCTTTATTTTTATCAAGCTAATCGATTTTCGTGGTTAGAAAGCCACTAGGACGTCATGCTTAGAAAATAAACAGTTTCTCTGAAACTCCTGCAACATACGGAATATGTTTTTTAGATCCTCCTTTTGTGGGAGTTTCAAACAAAATGTTCCATTGGCTTTCAAACTCTAAAATTATATACATTATATAAATGATATATTATTAATTATATATATTATATAAAATACATTACGGCACAGACTGGTTCATCCCAAAGTTCCAGTCCCCTGGCACAAACAGAGTATATTGTTCATGTATATAAATATATATAATATATAATATTATATATGCTGTTGGCGCCATGGGGGCTGTGATCAGTCTTACATCGAGGAACTAAACAACCACTGGTCAAAAAGATGTCCCAGCACAGAAGAGCAACACCATCAGGCCAAGACTCTGGGTTTTCACTCATCTCCAAGCCAGCGGTCACTTTTTCAGTGATGAAGATATGCACATCCTTGATGGAGAGGAACGGTGGTCCGAGAGAGGAGTAAAGAAAGCCATCTTTGTGATGAGAACCTGTCCGTTGTTAAACCAGGGGCGGAAGTCTCCATGTTCAATCGTCCCTCTCTCACGTTGATGTCATTGCATCACTCATCCCTCTGAATAGCAAGCAGCCACCAGGGCATTAACGATCAGTTGTTAGGCTGATGGTCTGCCTTTTGCATGTGAACAACTAATTTTGGCTGTCACCAACAAACTAGTTGATCTATTATGAGAAGGACTGAGATTGCTTGCAGCACCTCTGACTCAAGTCTTTTTGATAAAAGACAAAGCGTTTCTACAAAGAAGAACCCGTCCAGAAGACCTGACTCTACCTTGTTAGATTTATGTATCTGGATTATTGAGCATGTGCCAGAACATCCCATAAAGATGCATCTAGGTGAAAATCTGACATAATGAACGCTGAAAAAAGTGAGAAGACACTCACTGTTTACTTTTAAAATTTTAGACATTTTTTAGGTCAGCTGTTTGTTGAATGGCGGCTCTTTCAAATGTGCCATGCTCTTATTTTGAAACCTGTTCCAAAAAAGGTTAAGCTATCGTGATGACGCATTAAAACCAGATACAATGAGAACCGTCTACCTGAGAGGAAAAAGTCCTTAGCTTATCCAACTAAAGTTACCTCTCTTTCTTATCCTTTGGCAGCATGGCAGACTACTTAATAAGTGGTGGGACAGGCTACATTCCTGATGATGGACTCTCAGCTCAGCAGCTCTTTTCAATTGGAGATGGCCTAACATACAAGTAAGTTTCCTCTGCATCGCAATCTGATTTTATTTTCCAAACATCTCTGCAAAGCAAAAGAAACTGTCAAAGGTTTCCTGAATTGTAAATCTACACCTGTGCGTAACGGTGGGTGAAGAGTATGCAACCAGTGCTTTGTAATGGCCAACGCGTTTTGAACCAGCAGATCTGACCAACAGTGTGTTGTCTCGGATGGTCATACGGCTGAAGAGCTTTGCTCTAAAGGAGATGGGTTGACTTACAAGTGAGTAAACCAGTCGTCTTCGAACTATTAAAACTCCTCTTGTCTCTTCAAACAGTGAACTGAAAAGAGGAAACGAAGTAAAGAACATTTCCGTCGATGCCAAGCGTGTTGTGGACTCAAGTGTTTACAGATTAATTGTAGCTAATCAGGAAATTTGTTCTGTAAACGTAGAACGCACGACTAACACCTCATCACTTCTTGCACGTTATTTTAATTTTTTATTTTATTTTCTCCGTCGGCGGTTCTAATTAAGCACAGATTTTTCTCACGGCTTTTCCAACCCCGTTCCTTGTAGGTCAGCTAATAATGAATCTTGACAGAAAATATTTATCTGTATTTTGCTATTTGAGACTTGTGGTTCGGGACACAGGTGGATGTGTCATATTTTCTTTGCTTCCATTCTTAGAAAATGTACCTAAATATTTCAGTGCTTTTGAATGCATTAGCTAGAGGGTGTAACGATTACTTTTGATCTATCGCAGCTCTTTGAAGATCAGTGCCATAGATGGTCCCTCAGCGCCTCCCGAGAACCATTATTTATCAGTAAAATTTATTTTAATCTTCGCTTTAATTATCTTTTTTTTTTTTCCCTCCTTTGCAGGAGGTATTTGGTATTTAAAAAGAGATCACTGTATTGGCATGTTTTTGCATGGATTGTAATTAAGTACGTCATCTGTGGAACAGGTTGCCCTAACGGAAAACGTAATGTACTGGCATGAGATGTAAGAATTATTTGTACCTGTGTTTGTTACTGGTAAATCTTTTAGACACTACTACTTTTTTGTCTTTCTGAAATGATGTTAAATGTGTATTTGCTGTTTTTCTCTCAGTAGTGACAGTTGCCAGTCATGTTCTGACACAGGAAAACGGAAGCATGTTTGTTAGAATAGAAACTTCTTGCTCTGTTGTGACCTTTCAAACCACCTATAGTACTGTAATACTTTAGACTTATAAAAAGAGTGCGACTTTGGGACAGCCTTTTTGGATTTGTTTAAAACTCAATTCTGCACTAGTTGTCAGAATTTGCACACTATTGTGTTTAAATGAAAAAACTTCTCACAAGTCTTTAATTATTTTAAAATCAAAATAACGTTTGCATTTCAAACCTAATTGCTGGATTTCTGTATTAACTTGGTTGTTTTCATAGCAGCCACATTAAGCTGCACAGGGCGTATGTGCTGAGAGAGAAATTAAACAATTCTGTGGAAAAGAAATTATAATTTAATCTCAAACAAAAATTATGTAATCATACTTTAGATATAAATGACTGAAATGACTGGCATTATGGGTGTATTGATATATTGCACTACAAGAACTTTCAAGATTTTAATAAAAAGTCCCAAGATTTGTCATTGATTTGACAACTGTCCTGCACGCCCAAAAAAGCCCATTTTCATGATTTTGGCTGATAAAATGATCACTGAAGATGTTCACACCCATTTTTATATTGTTAGGCAGCAGTTTAAACAAACCGGTCAGGTTTTGGCACACCGTGTCCTTAGTGCAGCTTTTCCCCACCTCCTGCAGCCTCTACAGCTATGTGCTGAGAAGAAGAGTCTATATGGCACGTTTATCTAAACTAGAATTGTCTTAACGCTAAGTTCACATTGTTATTTACTTACTATGATGCTGAGGAAAATTAAGTTTGAACCTCTTGTTGTTGAGTTGAAAGGCAAAATGTTTAAACTTGGAGGTGGAGGTGAACCTAAATCTGACTAAACTGTTTCCTGAGAGGGCCCTTCATTAGGGCTGGGTACCTTTCTAAAAAAAATCGGTACCGGTGTCGGTACCTAAAAAAATCGGTACCGCTGTCGGTTCCTGGACGGTTCTTTTTTCTGTACCAATTTTGTAATTAATATTAATTCTAACAAGAATAAAATTACGTTACACATTACAGTACATATTGTGATTTTTATTTTTTAACTTTGGTATTTCTATTTCAAGCAGTTTTCTTACATTAAAATAAACAAATAATTTCCAGTTCAAAAGAACAGTTGCAAACAACAAGTGACACGTCAGTGTCTAATGTTCACTGCTACACACTGAGGACCTTTTCACTTAACGGTTTTTCTTCAGAAACAACATGTCTGCTTTCTCTGGACACAAATAAGCCCACTCCTGGCTGATGGTGTCTCCAGCAGTAAGAAGTGTTCCCTCTGAGACTGTAGATGATGCTTGTTGCACAGATACCTGGTTGTCAGTTTGACAGCACTGACATGTTGTCCCTCACATTCCACCAGCAGGTCACTGGATTCACTGAGGTTAGAGTTGATGCAGACATCTGCACCTCTGTGTCTCTTCCTGAATCTTCTCTGTGGTTCTCTGGGGTTTAGGGCTCTTATCATCTCCCTAATTGACATGAGAACAGAACATCAACAGTAACATGGTTGTGTTATTATTACTCAAAACATATTATCTAGGCTGAGCGATAAAAGTTTAACTGGTCAACAAAATCTTTTACAGCTTAACTTACCTCCACCGTGCAGCTCCACTGTAGAAAAGACAGCAAACTTTTAACAACAAAGTCTGTGATTGTCCTGTGGCCCCCACCTCGCTTTTCTGTCTGTCCTCACATCTGGGTCAGAGGCTCCAGTGAGGAGAACATTAACATAAACAGCGAACATTAGGTGAACTGTTTAAGCAGCTGACTGGATGGATGAGCAGTTTTACACGCTAAGATTTAAATGTTACTGTCAATCTTTAGTTTCTGAGTTTAGCTAGCTACGTAGATAAAATAAATTTACACACTAATATCTTAAAGTTAGCGTTATTTCATCGCGATGTATGTGTTAAACTGCAGTAACGTTAACAAACGTAACAAAGTCCATGCTCAGTAATCCAGGTATAAAATCCAACATTTTTCAGTCAGGTTAACAAACGTAAACTCACCAGCTGAAACACAGACACAGAGCCGTCCTCGGAGTTCTTTGATAAAGACAAGTCCAGCTGTGGAAAGTTGATTCAGTCCGTTTCTCACACACACACAGACTGACTGGCTAACACTGAGAGGAGGAGGGGGAGGCTGCTTTTTGTCTTCTTTCAGAGAAACACGGAGCAACTTTCTAATCGTGTGTTGTCGGAGCTGTTCGACAACACACGCTGCACACGTGAACCCCGTCTGTGGGCGTCACCAGCACCACAGACATACATTATACATAGATTAGGTGCGGCAGCTCTATACAGCTCTGGGTGTAAACACGTAGTCTGTTTGTCATATGTCTGGTGTTTTACCTGCCTGCGTGCCGAAACCACGTGACACCTTACAGCCTATACCGAAACTTGACACCGAAAAAAGAGTGACGTTTCAATACATACACCGACCGGTGCAGTTCGGTCGGTGCCATAAAAGAACCTCGGTTCGGTACTCAGCCCTACCCCTCATAAGAAATTAAACTAGAGAGATGTCAGGCAATTAAGTTTTTTCCAAAACCTTATTTCAAATACTAAAATCTCTGTGTGGGACGAGTGCCGTATTGCCCCACGTTTGTCAGAAAGGGTAGTAAAACACAAACATAACAAATGATAAATTATGAATTCATCAAGAATCAAGTATGATTCTGTGATTGGCCTGTACAGTAATTTGCTGCATTTTAATTGTTTTTCCAAATGTATTTCGTGGCACAACAACTGTATGAAGCTCAAATTAACAAGTTGTATACACATTTACAAAATATTGGGTATCATTCTGTCAACTGCTTAGAATTTTATTAATTTTTTTATTTTCTTTTTAGACAAGAAGCAGAGGGTGAGGACCTGTTGTGGCCTTTGGTTACCTTTAAACACTCCCAGCTAGCATTGTGCGTTTGCCTACATTTACCATTCAAATAAAAACCATAATAAGGCCACAAGGAAGCTGCAGCGTGATGAAGCTAAATGCGAACAGATGTGAATCCTTGCTTTCTGTTGGTGGGTGTGACCCCTCACTTTGCAAAGTCCCATCCACGGCTTCTATTCCTGTTTTTCCTTGTCCCCACCCATGCCTGAAAATAGAATAAACATAGGCAAACCATCGTCCCACATTTTAGTTTACTTTCCGTGTCCACCAATAACACACTCTTTCCTCTGATTTAGGTTAGCTGCATAGTTTAATCCACCTTCTCCCTCAGAAAAATAAAGCTTCTCTTAGTTCTGTGTCTGTTCTCACACCCATGTGCTGAAACCGCTAAATACATAGAGACACTGCAGGGGAGGACAAATAAGTGCATTCCTCTTGTCTGCCTCGTTCTTCTTATTTTTGCTTCATTTGACCTCACGTTGTGTTTATACAGGTTGAAATAAGTCATTGTTTCTTTTACAAGGTACAGGCAGTACCAAGTCTGTGCTCAGTCACTTTATTTTCTAGAATACGCAATGAGGTATAATAATTTACTAATAGAGGTTTATAAGCTAGTGCCTTGTAAGAAACTAACTTTGGCCTAAGCATGTCTAATCTTAATCTTTTCATTCACATTGTTATTTTGTCTGTGTCACATTCATATCAATGTTTACCTATTAGTTAAACATGTTTTTTTTTTGGTGTGTTTTAAATATTTTAATTCATAATTCTGCAGCTGTTGGCACTTCAGGTTGACTTGCACATAATTTTTAGATCCAGACCTGTTCTAATGGAAAGTGTTCATGTTTTTTTTTTTTTTTTTTTTTACCTCAGTGATAGTGACTCAGTTTTGATCATGTGCTTTGCATTTTATCTTTCAGTGACTTCCTGATTTTACCTGGCTTTATTGACTTTACCTCAGACGAAGTGGTGAGTGTGCACACACACGTGTTACATTCTTATTTAAGAGTTTCTTTATTTGTCATTCGCACCACATGTGGTACATGTGGTGGAACGTAACTGAGCACACAGGGTCCCAGTTACATCCAACAAAAGTATAAAGTGTAAAAGAAAAACAGTAATAAGGTCTAAGATATGAACTAAGAAAAACCTTAACTAAAATAGACTAAGCACTTAAGAGCGTTAAACGGAAAATGTTCAAGTTTTTTTTTTTTTTTTTTGACGTTTCGTCCTTCATCCAAAGGACTTCATCAGTACGAGGAGCCACAACAATACACTCACATAGTGGGCCAACCAGTTTGCTGGTGATAAGATGGTTTCTGGGGCCCACCCTCTCTCCTGTCGACTCCTCTGAGGTTGCTATAGTCAAATTGGTTCAAAACCTCAAAGTTCATGCTCAATAATCACGTGTGCTTGTGGGACTGAGTTTGTTGTGGCTCCTCATACTGATGAAGTCCTTTGGATGACAAACAAAACATCTAAAAAAAAAGAAGAAAAAAAAGAAACCATCCAGATGACCTGACTGAACATTGTTGGGTTGGTGTAGAATGTTGAATACAAGGCAGTCTTATTTTCCCTCTCTGAAATGGCATGTGGTTTGTAACACGGTCAGCAAACATCTAACAAGGTTTATTCAGGTCCTCTGGAGGGATTCTTCTTCGTTGAAACGTTTCAACTTTTATCCAAAAGAACTTCGGTCTGAGGGGCTGCAACAAACGGTCAAAAGCAGCACCTTCTAGTGAATCGACAAGTTTACTGGTTGTTCTTTTGCAAAAAGAGTCATTAGCCTAACAGTCGATAGTGCCCTGAATGCCACTTGCTATTCAGAGGACTGAGTGGTGCAAGAACAACGTTGTAAGAGGGTGACCTTTGTCATTTGACGACGGTCACCCTCTTACATTTGATAAATCGACTAAATGTTCAGAATTTTGAAATGTAAATGACTGAATTTTGTAGCACTTCAAGGTGTTGCATTCACTGACATGTAGGAACTTGGAGACCGGCCATGTGTTTGCCGTGGGCCACTCTTCAACAAGTTTGCTTACTTTTCTCATGTTTCTCCAACTCTTTGAACTGAACTCATCAGGTTTGGCAGGTTGGCTGCAGGTTTACCGTGAACCCCTGAGAAACGGCGAGCAGCCTCTCGATAGTTTACATCTTTCAGATAAAGCGTGAAGCTTTGACCGCCGTAACTTGCTGCTTTCCCATGTGTGAGGAATGTGATTATTTTTTTCCCACCCCGTGGAAGAAAACAATCTGCTGGCTTTTGTGGGAATGGCTGATAAGTTGAAGTGAATGTTGCTGGAAAAACAGAAATAAGCCACAGCACATTTTTAGACTGTCAGACTTATTCTTTTAAATAAAGATCTGTTTAATTTGCAGGCGTCTTGTATCACTGAATTTATTTAAATATTTTTAAAGGGACACACTGGTTCCTGTAGTTTAAGGTCATATTCCTTTGCTTTCAGATTTAAAAACTGAGAAACACAACCATGGTGTATTAAATAAAGCTTTAGTGGAGTGTCTCTCCCGGTGGACAATGGATGTACTGTCTTCTGTCTTTCAGGACCTGACATCAGCGCTGACCAAGAAGATAACTTTGAAAACTCCTCTCATCTCCTCCCCCATGGACACGGTCACAGAGTCAGCCATGGCCATTGCAATGGCGGTAAGAAAACGCTGAATATTAATGTAAAGCAATGTTTTTTTCCCCTCCCTAAAATGCTAGGATTATAACTTTATCTTTCCATAACAATTTTAGCTAATGGGAGGCATTGGTTTTATTCACCACAACTGCACACCAGAATTTCAAGCGAACGAGGTCCGCAAAGTCAAGGTAAACCAATAATTAAAAATGTTTTTCAGTGTTGTCGGGCGGCTTACTGATAAAGGTTGTAATTTTAGAATTGTTTGCTGCCCCCTAGTGGTATTTTTGTAAAAGTATTTTTCTCGTCTTTAACTCAGAAATACTTCTTTTTGTTTTTCTTTGTTTATATAGGTTATGGTAATTGTTTGTTGTGTTTGTGTGCGTTTGTTACTTTTTGTGGTTGTTTTTTGTTTTGTATAATGTGTGTATTGCTGTTCTGTGTGTGGAGTTTAACTTAGTGCTGCTTTTTCCTGCTTTACTCGCACAACAACACACTATATATATAAAACGATAATCCCATTTATCATTTTTTCTGTTGGTTTTTAGCGATTTGAGCAAGGTTTTATCACAGACCCAGTCGTTATGAGCCCACACCACACGGTCGGGGATGTTATTGAGGCCAAAGTCAGGCACGGTTTCTCGGGGATTCCCATCACAGAAACCGGAAAGATGGGCAGCAAGCTGGTGGGAATTGTCACCTCCAGAGATATTGATTTCCTGTCAGAGAAAGACCACAAAAAACCTCTATCGGAGGTGTGTAATTGTACAGAAATTCAATTTCTATCAGTGTAAAATAACTTTGTTATTTTAATGCATTTATGGCATTTTTATTTTTCAGGCTATGACCAAAAGGGAAGACTTGGTGGTTGCTCCAGCTGGCGTTACACTGAAAGAAGCCAATGATATTCTGCAGCGCAGTAAAAAAGGTGAATAAAAGTTATTTTATGAAACAAGTTTTCTAGCTGTTTCCATCTCACATTTTCTCGCTCTAACCAGGCAAGCTTCCCATCGTGAACGATAACGACGAGCTGGTGGCCATTATTGCCAGGACTGATCTCAAGAAGAACAGAGATTACCCTCTCGCTTCTAAAGACTCACGCAAACAGCTTCTGTGCGGCTCCGCCATCGGCACCAGAGAGGACGACAAATACAGACTGGACCTGCTGGTGCAGGCTGGAGTGGACGTTGTCGTACTGGTAGGTGTTGCGACTGACGTTGGTGAAAACACAACATCTGTATTTGCTGGGGGTGCTGCAGTTGAAGTCTAAAACTAGTTTAACAAAAAGATAATGCAGATATAATTGTCTGCATCTTCAAGATAGTTGGCAGCTTATTCTTCGACAAGCTGTGAAAATATCCCCCAAAAGCAGTGATTTTACGGTTATCGGGCATGTTTCTTTAAATGTCAGCTATTTGTCAGAACATGTTTTAATGTTTTAAGTCATTTAGCTTTTTTTTTTTTTTACATTTAGGACTCCTCACAAGGGAATTCCGTGTATCAGATCAACATGATAAGCTATATTAAACAGAAATATCCAGACTTGCAAGTTGTGGGAGGAAATGGTGAGTGCTTTTAAACAGCAATTAATTTATTATAGATGTTTAGTCGTCCCTCAAATATATTTACAATAGAGATGAAAATGTAGCATTAATTATGGAACAGCTTTTTTATTTATAAACTTTTTTTTTTTTCCAGTTGTTACAGCAGCCCAGGCCAAGAATCTGATTGATGCAGGAGTGGATGCTCTGAGAGTTGGTATGGGCTGCGGCTCCATCTGCATCACGCAGGAAGGTACGAGGCAACAGAACATGCATGGATGCAGAAATGAAATGTGGAGTGTGTAAACATAAAGCGCTACGATAAATCAAATAATGCCATGACTGAAAAATACTGGCTGGGGAAAAAAAAAAAAAAAAACTGGAGTAAATGAGCTTTTATATTAGCTTTGCTTGCTGCCTCTGTTCTAAACTGAGCAAGCAGAAAAGGTTATCAATATATCCCAGTAACGGATACCCTGAGACCACTCCTAGTTGTCATGGTGATTTGCCAAGGCCTCAGTCCTCTGTTGCTATGGAGACAAGTTTTTAATGCTCAGCCTGGGTCACTTTTACCAAAAAGATGGGATGACTAAAGTTGCAGCAGAGCCCAAAGTATCCCCCTAGAATATTTTTTGACCCTAGTCCTGCCCTGCATCACCGGGATGTTTTGTTTCCATGGCAGTAACATCAGATCCATTTTCTGTCTCCTAGTGATGGCATGTGGGCGACCCCAGGGGACTTCTGTGTACAAGGTGGCAGAGTACGCTCGGCGTTTCGGCGTGCCGGTCATTGCTGACGGTGGCATTCAGACCGTAGGACACGTGGTGAAAGCTCTGTCCCTGGGAGCATCGACTGGTGAGAGCAGCCGCACTGTGACAGTTTCATTCATTATAAACTTTATAATGAAAAGGCAGAGCTGAGGCTGGGCTGTGTAACAAACTGAATCTTCATCATCTCCTGCTCCAGTTATGATGGGCTCGTTGCTAGCGGCAACCACCGAGGCTCCAGGGGAGTACTACTTCTCAGACGGCGTGCGGCTGAAAAAGTATCGCGGTATGGGCTCTCTGGACGCCATGGAGAAAAGTACCAGCAGCCAGAAACGCTATTTCAGGTTTGTGGGAGCTGACGAGTTGCACAATGTGATAAAACAACTGAATATGAAGTGAGTGACGTTTTTAACCACAGTGAGGGTGACAAGGTGAAAGTAGCCCAGGGGGTGTCGGGCTCAGTCCAAGACAAGGGCTCCATCCACAAGTTTGCACCTTACCTCATAGCAGGCATCCAGCATGGCTGCCAGGACATCGGAGCAAGGAGTCTCTCTGTCCTCCGGTGAGTTTTGTAGAAATGTGTTGTAATCTAGATATATTCATGATTATCAGGTGTAACAGGTCTCCATCTTCTTCTAGTTCCATGATGTACTCTGGAGAGCTGAAGTTTGAGAAGAGAACCATGTCTGCACAGTTGGAGGGAGGTGTTCATGGACTCCACTCGTAAGTACCCCCCTCAAAAAAATCAATGAGCAAAACTTTGATTACTTTTCTCTGTAACGTTCCCTCTGATTACTTGCTATAATTGGGCCTATTTAAGTAAACCAAATAGATTTTCATTCCCTGGTTGAAAAAAAAGATTAAACAACAACATTAATAATCTGTAAATTAAACACCACGTTGTGTACTGGCAGAGCATTTTAGCTCTTTTTCTACTGAAGCTAAATGAGGAGACATTCAGTTTATAGAAACAAACAGAAAAACAAAACGGTGTCAAAGCATTTGAAGCTTCTTGAGGTTCGGTGGTAATTTAACCAGTAGAGCGGGGATAAAGTCAAAGAAGCTGGATTTTATTAAAACTAAAAAGATGACACTTCCAGTTAGTATTGACCTAAATATATACTGTAATTTTCGGGCTTTAGAATGCAACTATCTCTAAGCCACACTTATTAAATATAAGATAAATCATAATTTTGTTCATAAATAAGACGCTCCAGTTATTTAGCTGTGGGCGTCCACTGTGTGCAGCTTTCTTGTTGTAGTACAAGAATCAGCCAGTAGATGGCGGTTCACAGAATACAGTTTGTTTTCAACACACTGCAAGACAGTCACAACTCTTCATGAAGCTTCACTGTCTGACTCATGGTTACAACCATTATACCTTCAAAATGAACACTAAGCATAATCATTGGACAGAACGATGCCGAACACCTACGTAACTGAAATTATTTAAAAATTATTTACCAGTAAACCCAGTCTTATCGAGGTCATGTGACCGGAAATCAAATAGTACAGGTAGAATGCAGTAAATATTCATTAAATTAATACCATTGATTTTTATTGGGAAGACTCAGTTCTGCTTCTCTGCCTTGTCTTCGGATGTGACTTTAAAATGAGATCCTGATATTTAAACATATATTAACTGTCACACAGAAAGAATGTTAATTTTTTTTATTAAAATATGTACCAGACTTGACTGCTTTCCATCTCCAATCCTGACCATCAACATGTTGATGCAAAGCTTAGGGGCTGCAAGCCGTTTCCTCCTCGACAGCTGATCGATCGCTTTTAACATGAAAGCTGCGTCATAAGAAATTCTCCGTGAGTTTTCCGTTATCGTTGAACAAATGAACAGGTCTGTGCATGAAGCGCAAAATCTGGTAACAACAAAGGAATGATCTGAAGAAATTAACTCACGTCTATCTTGGGGGATGGTCCTTGAGAGTACCTTGTTGGTCATTGTGTTTAGACTTCTGGTCACATGATGACAGAGTGGGTGGAGTTATGGTTGGGTTTTTGAAACCCTGAACAAAAGACCTTGTACATCTGATTAGCTGAGGACATTCTCTGTGTCACAAACACCGGCCCCCATGAGGGGTGGGGTGCTGGGAGCCACGAGCTCCCAACTCTGTCAAAGGAAAATGTTATTCAGTGGCAGTAAGCTACCAAGAGACGGCAGGAAGTCCTTCAAAATAAAACATAAATATATAAATTTTGAAAATTATGTAAAAAATACATAACTAAGGCATATAAACCGCGGGGTAGCTACAAAGTGTGAGACAAAAGTAGCGGCTTGTACACCGGCAATTATGGTATTCTATGTCATAAGAACTGAAAATGTAACATTTGTTGTAATATTCTGATGCATGCTCAATAATCCAGGTAGAAAAATGTAAAAAAGTTAAGTCTGGTCCTCCGGACATTCAAAAAACAAAACGAAAGACGAAACGCTTCTACAATTTTTTTGTTTTGTTTTGTTTTTTGAATGTCCACAGGACCAGACTTAACTTTTTTAGATTTGCTATATAATGTTTTCACCTTTAAAACTTTTGAGTTTATGCTTTAATTTCTCACAGTTTTATTTTTTTTTAATTCCGTGATGGAGGGTTTTATTTTACTGAACGGAAAAATCTTACCTCAAAATATATCGTCTAAAGTGTTAGCATTTGTCCAAATAAACATTTATACACTTTATATATAACTAAAGAAGTAACTTTTTTTTGTTGTTGCAGAAATGCAGTGCAAATGCTGAGTGTTGAGTAGCTTTGCTGAAAAAGCTGAAAGTGATCTATTAGCCAAAACTAACAAAACAGTTGCTGAAATGAACAGAACACCACAAGCTAGACTTACAAAAACATGCTCAAGCTAAAATCAGCAAAACTGTAGCTAAAAGTAGCAGTAGCTATATAGTAGCTGTATTTGCCCCACTCTGGGCCCTTGAGCAAGGCCTTTAACCCCCACCATCTGCTCCCCCACGCACCCTAGATAGTAGCCCTGTTCTCCACACAGAGGGCTGTGGTAGCTTGGTGGTCTGTGCTTGAGTCAGAAAGGGCATCCGGCATAACACAACCCAAAAGTCATTGCACACTTTGGCCGATCGAGCTGAACATTTCGATATATGAATAGTCAAAATAACACAAAATATGCAAAAGTAGTTCAAGAAACAAACAGTCGTGCTGAGTCAATATTCACACACGTAAAAAGGAAAACTAGGATTATATAATCCAAATAGCCTCTTTTTTTTTTGTTTGTTTGTTTCCACAGTTACGAGAAGCGACTTTACTAAGTATCTGGTGGCGTTGAGACGAAATGCAATCCGACGGTGACCAAATGTTAAATCACCACTTCTGCCAAAACTCCGCTCCACCCACTACACCCTCTCTGCCTCCCCTACATCACGCCTGCTCCTTAACTTATCTCACACGGCTGATCTGGGGAGGAGAGCGGCATCGTAGCAAAACAGACACCGGACTCTCTGAACACTTTGGACTTTTCTCAAGAAGCGGCGCGTCAGGGTCTTCTGGAATGACACACACACACACACACACACCTGTATCCTCCATATTCAGCCGCATCCCAGTTTTGTTTGTTGATAACTGTGAGAGACAGCAGGGTTGTGTGTGGACGCAGTACAGACAAAGTGAACTGTGTTCATTTGTCCCGTCAGAACCAGCCACAGTGCATCTAGTTTCAGCTCGTTTGGGATCCACACTTGCCAGCAAATCGTGTTAGAAGCTAAACTCATCCCAGTTCTTAACTTGTACATATTCAGAAAACACAACGGTACCCTTGTACTTATGTTCATTCTGTGACAACAAACCTTGAACTTTTGTTTTTGCATTTTTATGTTCTCATATGTGTTACTTGAAGAGGAGCAGCTTAATTTACACCACATGATTACCTTGTTTCATGCTTTTTGTTTCGATATTGGCCATTGTTAATCACATCAACCCCTCAGACATACTGAGCCAAATAACCGGTGTCCCATCTCAGTGCGTGTACTCTGCGAGTGTTGTTTCATGTGGAAGGAACCAGTTTTCTTACAAAAGAGCTAAATGGATCAATCAGAAATGCTTAAGGAAGATAATGTCTTTGTTCGTAATTTGAATCTTTTTTTTTTTTTTTTTTTTTAAATGTCTTTTTATGAAATCTGGGGACTTTAAATTGAGAATGAAGGGTTTTTAAAGTTAGTTTTTTTTTTTCACTAAGCCAAACGTGGCTGTATTTATACTCCGCTTTAATTGCAAACATACTGCCGAGTGTATTTACACTTCCTTTGACACTCTTCTTTTGTAACTGAAACACCAAAACTATTGCAGAAACTTGATGTAATCTCGTCTCTGGTTTGTTCTGGGCTTTCATGGTCTAGCATGAATATGTTTAAAAAAAAAAAAAAAATCACCAAAGGTTTGCCTTGAAACGGACAAAAGCTGCAAACTGAATTGCGTTCAATGTCAAAAAACTTTCTTGTATTTGACTTCACGACTCTCAATCCTTCATCTTGTTTAGGTGCTTTTTTAAACATTTCCATAATTAATGTCTCATCCTTTTTTTCAATAATGTATTTTCCCTTCTAACATGGTAATGTAGGTTTTATTTAATTTTTCTTTCTGCGAAGCGTTCATTTGACTAACTGAAGGCTTGCAACAGGACCAAATTGCAAGAAAATGTGCAAAATATATGGAGATGCTGGATGTGGTTCCTGTTTGATTTCAGTTTCTCACTAACACGTTAACTTATTACAATGTCTTATTTCTCATATACTGAGACCTTTTAGTCCAACCGAGTAAGCACAACTCATATTTTTTTCATTTAAGTTGCTTCTTTGTACGTTTTCAGCTTCTCAACAGTTGCCATAATCGTGGCAGTTTCAGCAGTTGACCAAATGTAAAGAAATAATCCTTTTTCTTTTTGTAGATTTCTGGGGGGAAAACTCAGTATTTAGTAGGTTATCAAAGAAATATCACTTCAAGACATGTTTACAGGTAAACACTCAAAGGAAAGTTGCTTTTACTGTTATGTTAATCATGAATAAATGCAGGATACTGTGTCTTGGCTATTGTTTTTTTTTTGTTTGTTTTTTTTAAATAATGGTTCCACAACCATATTGTAAGATTTCATTTTAAGAAGGGGGAAACACAAAATATGTTTAAACATTTTATTAAACATCTCAAAATTTTATTTCGTCATAAATACATTGTCAGTCGTAAAGGATTCTGATGTAAATAGAAGAAAACTGTAACATGACTTTTTATCAGTAGAGGGCATCGTTGTGCCATAACTGAAAAACAAGCTTATATTTTGACCTTTTCAATCCCAAATTAACATGAGATTTAATTACAACATATATATATATTTAAATGTGTATTTTCAGTAGTATTTAAGAGTGTATTCCAGTCATAATAATAGGTATTGGAATGTTGATGCTTTAAAAACTTTTTGTACAAATCTGTTCTGCATATCCCCACCTAGTAAAACATTAATTAGGCTGTAACAAACTTCATTAGCTTTTATCAGACATGAAATTTACAAATGGTCTCTTGGCTTTTGACAGTTCTTGGCACTTGGACTCTCAGGAACATTCACTAAAGAAATGAATAAACTTCCCAAAACTTTTTGGCAGCTGTAGTCTTTTTACAGTGTATATGAAGCTGACATGCACTATCAACCACTGGGAAAATCCAGCCAACTTGCTGCACAACACATACGCTCATTTTAGGTCCTCTTTGAGAAAAGTTTCTTCATAAGTCTATAGTCTCACTGCAGATGCTTGAAGAATCCATTTGTCTGCAAACACTGATAAATTCCTCCTGCACAGAGCGATCTGCCTCAGCAGACAGGTCTAAGCTCTCCTGGGAGGCAGCTCCCAGAGTTTGGTAGTGCCTCTGCAAGTTAGAGGACGCCACGTGATGCCCTGTGTTCCCTTGAAGTTGCCCCGAGTGTCTTTCTGGGCTTGGGCATAGGACAAGAGAAGAACTTCCAAGGGAAGTTCGGTAGAGGGAGCATGAGGATGAGCTACCTCTCCAACGTTCAGGTGATGAACAACTAGAGGATGAGCACATGGAAGAAGATGCTTGAGCACCTTCGACACATTTAGGCTGAGCACTGTGGGGTTGAGAGGCCATCTCCTGGCAAGAGGAGGTTCGATAAAATCCAGGATCAGCTGAGAGAGGATCGCAGAGGCCTTTGCTTGGAAGCGTCCAGTGGTTGTTTACAGGCGTGTCACTGCAGAAGAATGGCCTAGTAGGGCTAAATAGGCTCATGGGGAACAAGGCCTCGCTGAAGAGCGCTTCATCTATGCTACGGCGTAGGTTGATTGGAGAAGGTGGCCGCAGGTCTGTTGTGGAGTCACTGGTAAATGAGGATCCTCCTGATGGCTCTCTGCCTCTGCCATCCTCAGGCTTTTCTAAACCCCGAGTTCCCAAATCCAGGTCGAGGTCTCGGTATACTAAGGCGCGGTTGCTGTGGTACAGGAGGTCCAGGCCGTTCAAACTACTCCCAAGTCTTTCATCCATCAGCGTGTACAGTGGAAGGCTTTCTGTTTCTCCGAGCCCAACAGTGTCGACAATGGCAAGTTTTTCTTGTTGGCTAAGTGTCCAATGATAAGTCCCGGGCAGGATGGGTGACTTGGATGCCAAGAGTTCAGTCCAACAACTTCCAGCAGCTGGAAGCTGATCAGAACAAAATACTGGTTGTGCAACCACCAAAGCTAAGGTTAGACAAACTCCGAGCTCACACAATCTGCAGCTAAACTGAAAAGCCCACCAGGGCCAAGGATGGAAGACCACCTCTCCACCTGCTACACCCATAGCATTAAGCACTGCATATAGCTGTAGTCCTGCACATGCTAAAGAAAACAACGCAGAAAGGCAGACGGTTACAGCTGCACGGTTCCAGTCACGGCTCTCGGCAAACGGACAGCGGTTGTAGCGCTCGGCAGGTGTTGGCGATGTGTTATTCAAGTGATAGATGTGCTTTGAGTCTGCACGAACATAGATATAAAAGACAAAATAGGCTGCGGATAGAAACGTTGCCAGTGCCACGAAGGCTCCACGGGAGATGAGTGACAAAAGGAGGCACAAAGAAGGTTTTTGCTGGTAGAACTTCAGGAAAGTCACAGGTCCGAATGCAGCAGTGAAGTGCAACACAACAAGGCAGGCCAGGAAACAGGGTCTCTGAAAGGCTGAATACGAGAGCTGCATTCTTGAGCGCATTGAGAGGAGAAGAAAAACCAAACCGAAAGCTGCAGTGATGCAAGGGAAAGGTGCTTCGTAGAGCATCAGTGAGGCCTCTGTGGAGGGTATGCGGTCCTGGTGGCCATAGGCATCATATAGTAGAGAAAAAGACCTTGTGCAACCAGCGGCAAGAAGGAACAAGCTGACTAGAGCAAAGTAGCCACATCCTGATGGGCAACGCAGAGGCAAGCAAAGCAGATTGAGTGCTGAGACTAAAGTTAGCATGGCAAAGGCACAGCCGACACCATATATGTGTGCCTCCCAAGCCAGGCCCCAGTCTGCCATGGCACTGTTCCAGTCAGTGTACAAGGGCACCAACATGGGTGGGGCTGGGTTTAAGAAGGGGCTGTTTGACTGGTTTGTGGCAGTGCTGTTTAGCGTAGGCTTGATGCCTGAGGAAGGTTTGGCATCCCAGGTGTAGGAAAAATTGCAGATTCCAGAGCGTTCTTTATTACAGTCTGGAAGTAGGGTGCCCTCGCTGTTCGGCAGGTTGGACATCCAGTCTTCAGTGTACAGCAGAATAGATGGAGATTCAGGGAGAATGTCTGCAAAGAAAGATCAAACTGACTTAGCATTGTTGATAAGAAAAACACCATTATTACATAGTGAGACACCGACGAGAGGAAATGAGAAAATCCCACAACTTCAAGGTTAACATGGTTGCAAACATCTTGTTTTACAGCCCTTATTGCATGGAAGCATTAAAAAAATACCCAAATGGCTCTGATTCAAGATGCTGAAAGAGTGCTGGTCCTTTAATGTGCTAATCCTGTGTATTAGCTTGTAAGAAGGCAACTTCAAAACTGAACGAGGCTCAGAGAAGCAGGCGCGTTTGTGTGAGATCAGCCCACTCAGAACCACAGATCTTTCCTACATTACGTAAGCCATCTGGCCTTTCCAAGAAAGTTATTTATGATTATGTTAGACCTGTTTAAGCACTACAGAGGATGTCCATTAGCTTTTAGAATGGAGTAGCCATGTACTGTATGTGTTTGCCAGACAGTTAGAGAAGCTTGTAAAGACTATTTACCAGAACACATGAATCCGTCACTGCATGCAAATCTCTTCACACTACAATTTATCTCAGATGAGTGAGAAAACGTAAGTTTGTCACTCTCCTGCCTCCACACCACCAGGCATCGTGTCCTGGTGCTCGTTCGTTTCCTTGATAAGCACCGCTGCATGCATGTTAACTTTTTAAATGCAGCAGACAAAGAATAAGCGGCTTTTGATTTGTACTCACAGGCTCATTAGTCATTTTACTGCAGGCTTATCGGAGACAATATAACTCCTCCAAAAAGAACATGGTGTTATAGTGTACCGAAAAACGACAAGGAGAAACCAACGGCGCAGTTAATCACATGGCATGCTGGTTTAGTGAAGTGCAAAATGAACGTTGTAATAATGTACATGTCACACATTGGCATATTCTGATTTAAAGATTAGCGTTTTACCAAAGAAAAGCTCAAACTACACGTGGAAACAATGGTGAAATCTGGTCTAGCAATACCTGGAAAATACATTAAATCTGTTAGTGATGTTCTGTGCAAGTTTAAAAGCCATAAATGTCCAGACTTCGGCACCACAAAACCCCTATATCTTTACAAATACATTTAAAATATCTAATTAGTTTCCCATGCTTGACTAAAAACAGAATTTCTGTGGTTTTATTTTTTCCAAGTTTCTTGTATTTTTGGATTTTTTTTCATCCCACCCATTTCTGGCTTGCTGCTTCTGTTGCTAATATCTTTTTAACGCTTACCTTTAAAGCAGGGGAACTCCCATAAGACGCATTTGTTAAACCTAAACTTAGAGGGCGTGTTTTTGTGTTAAACATATGACGCACAATTACCTCTGGCAGAAATGTAAGCCTTCCCCGTAGTCCCAATAGCAGCTGTATTTTTGTTTTGGAGCCACAGACAAAGGATGACGGTGATCCCTGCTGTATTGCTGAGATCCCAAAATGCTTTTTACCAGATGAATTTTTGCATGTGTTGCACAATATTTTTGTCTGCCTGGTCATATCTGGGCTGTGTGTGTGCACTGCTGGCATTTAAGTAACCCTTAGTGGGGAAAGCTATGCCCTTCTTCTGCCTTAGATGCTCATAATTGCTAGGATATTTACAAAAGTTCTCTGCATGTGGCCTAAAAATGGATTTGATCATTTTCCTTGTTTCCTAACATCTGGGTTGAGTTCCAGCACGAGGCTGTGATGAAGATGTCAAGCTTTGGGAAATATGATCCCAGCTGCTCTGTATGACACAGCAATTCTATTTCACAGAGCAAAGAAAAAACGATGGATGTTTTCAGGTGGCTTTTTGTGTGCTGATGCACTGCTTTTTTATTTTATTTATTTATTTTTTTTAGTCTAATGACTTGAGATTAATCCACCCTTTTTGTATTTGTCAAATTCGCAAAACACCTAATTAAGTCAGAAGAGAATCAAGACGTTTTAACATCGGCCTGAAGATTTATATCTCTAATATTGACACCAATTAGCTCAGACAGTAAAAGAAAGATTATCCTAAACTACACTTGTCCACTTAATGCGATCAAAGTACTTTTATCTGCGTGCTTTATTCAACAAATCTGAGTGTAAAATACATAAACTGTCAGACCTTTTAATTCCAAACCGCTTTTTTTTAGGTATCACAATTGTTCACCTATAAAACATATCAAATCTAAAAAAAAAATCTTAAAAAATATTATTAAATTAAAAACTTACTCGTTTCTTTCTCTTGAACCACTGGAGATGTGTTAGCCTAACTTTAGTTCTTGTTTTGCAACTAGTCTAATTTGTCAAGTTTTTGACAAATCCACATTTCTCGTTATTTATTGTTTATACAAACATTTATAAAGGCATTTACATGTCAGTGAGTGCAGTAGCAGAACAGTGGACAGACTAATTATCCAGCACAGACTTTGCTAATGCCATGACGCTAACGTGATGGAAATAAACAGAATAAGTCATAGTGTGGCTACTTCTCTTCATCAATTATCAGAACATGCAGTGACTGTAGGAAATGTGACAGGAGTGTAAAATAAACACACGCATGTAACCTTTAGAGTGTGGAGGCTGCTGATAAAACAGGTGGGGTTCAGCACTGTGTTGGCTCAATGACTTGCCTGCCCATTTGTTTACTTTCCAGGGCAACGACTCGAACGCCTGTGAGTCAGACGGAGTGGAAACAGTGGCCCGTGTTGAATTAGGGTCACGGTTTTTTTAATGTTCATGTCAGCTGGTGTCAATCTGATCTGTTGGCTCGCTTGAGACAGACTTTGGTGTGGGATGTTGGCTGAAGAGAGAGGATGGATGAGAGAATCATGCTCGGTCCTCTGACACATTCCTGCGGGCACAAGTTTCTCCTGCTAAGGACGGTTGACACATCTGAAGTGAACATAAAGCAAACTAGAGAAATTGCATTTCCTGCGAAAATGCAGTGTGAATGCTTATTGCAGAAAACTTGCTGGAAAAACAGCTGAAATTAGCTAAAAAAAAAAATCATGCTGAAATGGAAGAACATGCCAAAGTTAGCAGAAGAATGCAGGAAGAACACATATTTGCTGAATAAGGTTTAAATTAGCAGAAATGAGCACACAAATTGGACATTTAACTAAAATAGCTGAAATTAGCAATAAATAGCTGAAAAGTAGAAGAAAGATTACATAGTACAATTGTGCCAAGTTAGGCAGAAATGGGCACACAGTGGAAATTATCTGAAAACAGCTGAAATTATCAAAAAAACAACAGCTGAACAGTAGCTAAAATAGTGGAAAGAAGCTTAAATTAGCAGAAGGAAGTGGAAAGAGCCCAATTGTGCCTAATCAGGATTAAAGAAGCAGACATGAGCACAAAAAGTGGAAATTATCTGAAAAAGGAGACATTAGCAAAAAAAAAAAAAAAAAAAAAAAAAACGAGCTGAACTGCAAACTGAACTGAGCTGCTAAAATGGCAGAAAGAAGCTTAAATTAGCAGAAGGAAGTGGAGCACATTTTTGCAGAATTAGGCTGGAAAAAGTTTAAATCGGTACAAAAATCTGTGGAATAGGTTGAAATGTGAAAATTTGTATAAAACAGCTAAATAGTAGCTGAAATAGAAAGAGTTGAAATTAGCAGAAATAAGCAGAAAGGAGCATAGCAAGTGAAAATTAACAGAACGAAGTTAGAAGAAGCACAAAAATGTAGTTAGCAGAATAAAGCACAAAATAGCTGGAAAAAAACAGCTGAAAGTAGCTGAATTTAGTTGGAGTCCTAGCTGTGAACACCATGAAAAGTATGTGCATTCTCACAATATCAGGAGATTACGCACTCCGTCTATGCTGTGCATGTCTCTCAGCTTCTACCAAACACAGTTTAGCTCAAAATCTGTAAAGCTGACTCAAATATACACATTTATGTGTGTTCTAAATTCAAATGGTTGTTGTTGCTATCTTGAATTGGGTCAAATCCAAAAGTTAATCGTTTGTTTCTGCGAGTCTGAATAAATATTTGTCCTGTAGTTCATGAGATATTTAGCCAACATGCACAAGAACACAAGCAAAACATTATAGTTTGCCTTCGTCTTTAATATTTAAATGATAATAACAACTTATTGCAGGGTATGCAAAACAAAAATGTGGTTTGGGCACATGGTTGGGTTTTAATTTCTTTCAGCATTGCTTTAAACCTTTGAATTGTCTCATTTGAGGCACCCAGCCTGGACTAAAGTAATAAAAATGAAGCTTTTTTATTTATTTTTTTAATAGTAAAAAGACTAGAAGAAGCCCACACAGTTCTCTAATTGTCTGCAAGTTGATTCTGCATCATAAAACACGGGGCCCAGTGTCGTTTTAATTTGATTGCCTTCATTTTCAATTAGACGCACCTCTGAAAAAGCAATTTAACGGGATCACTAAGGGAGGTCAGATTACACATTTTGAGAAAGAGAAGCTTGCTAATGGGGAATTGTAAAACTGCTTTATAAACAGTTTATGTGATGCCAAAGGGCTTCTGTTAGGATGTTGTTTAATAGTTATCAATGTATCTTCAGGAGCCAATATTCTTCTTCATTCAGAAAAGTTCATGCAGACATGCTGATGTTCATTTTTCATCTTGAGCTCATGGAAAATTTGACAGGTCTATTTTTGAGAATCACATCATTTGCTAATCTGGGTGATGTAATGTAGGTTACATCTGCTCCTGTGAACTGGGACAACTGAGGATCTTATAAGAAGACATCTGAAGAGAAACAAACTTCATGATATTGACTATTTATAATTCACTGATCTAAACTAGAGAAACTGCATTTCCTGCAAAAATGCAGTGTGAATGTTTAGTGCAGAAAAATAGCTGAAAAACAACTGAAATTAACTAAAAAAAAAAGCATGCTGAAGCTGAAGTGCAAGAACAAACCTAAGTTAGCAGAAGAAGGCAGATAGAACACATATTTGCTGAATTAGGTTTAAAGAAGCAGGAATTAGCACAGAAATTAGGAAATTGGCTAAAAAGCTAAAGTTAGCAGAAAATAGCCGAAAAGTAACTAAAAAGGCAGAAAAAAAGCTTAATTAGACAGATGGAAGTGGAGAGAGCCCAGTTTTATCCAATTAAGCTGAAAGAAGTAGAAATGAGCACAAAAAATTGAACATTATCTGGAAAAAACTTAAATGAGCAATAAAACCTGCTGAATAGTAGCTAAAAAAAAAGCAGAAAATTAAATTACCAAAAAATAAGTGGAAAGAGCACAATTGTGCCCAATTAGGTTGAAAGAAGCAGAAAATTGCACAAAAAAGTGAAAATTACAGTATCTGTAAGAAGATGACATTTGCAAAAAATAGCTGAATAGTAGCTTTAAAAAAGGCAGAAAGAAGCTTAGTTAGACAGATGGAAGTGGCGAGAGCCAGTTTTGTCCAATTAAGCTGATAGAAGTAGAAATGAGCACAAAAACGTGGAAATTATTTGGGGAAAAAAGCTGAAATTTGCAAGATAAACTGCTGAATAGTAGCTGAAAAAGCAGAAATAAGCTTAAATTACCAGAGTGACGTGGAAAGAGCAAAATTGTGCCAAATTAAGCAGAAAGTATACTTTTGCACTAAAAAGTGAAAATTACAGTATCTGTAAGATGCTGAAATTTGAAAATAATAGCTGAATAGTAGCTAAAAAAAAAAGGCAGAAAGAAGCTTAACTTACCAGAAGGAAGGAAAGAGAGCACATTTTTGCTGAATTAGGCTGAAAAAAGTTGAAATTTGTGCAAAAAAAGTGGAATTAGCTGAAAAAGCTAAAATTAGCATAAAACAGCTAAATAGTAGCTGAAATAGCAGAAAAGGCTGAAACTTGCAGAAATAAGCTGAAAGGAGCACAAATTGAAATTAACAGAAAGAAGTAAGAAGAACTAAAATGTTGTAGTTAGCTGAAAGGAGCAGAAAACAGCTGAAAAAAACAGCTGAAAGTAGCTGAACCAGAACAAAATGTGAAAGGAGCAGTAAAAGGTTGTAAACACATCTAAAGATTTGAAGGATGGAAAATGAGCTCAATTCATTTTCTGAGAAAAAAAAAATGGCTGAAAATACAAAATATTTCAAAAAGCTAAAGTTGAATCAGTACCAAAAGTCATAGCACCCTTCTCCTGAGAGAGCTGAACGTTCTTATACGATTTGTTGAAATAGCACAAAAATTGTAGAACGAGAAAGATGCTGAAAAATGTACGGAAGAAAAGTGGATCACGCTAGTTTGACTGCTTCATAAACATTCACACAAAAAGGGGATTAAAAGGATATTGTGTGATAAAAAAATCACTCTGTCAGCAAATTCTTGAGAAATATTTAGAATAAAATAAACAGAAAATTACTTGTATGAGCTTGACTTATGTGCTGAGGATGACCGTTAGCTAACACCACACCTAAGTTTAGGTCTATATGTGTGAAAACAGCTGGAGCAGCTGTTTGTGCTGGCTGAAGCTCATTAGTTGTGGTATCCATCTTGAATTGGGTTGACTCCAAAAGTTAAACCCGTTTCCTGGTTCATGAAATAGTTTGCTTACACAACAGGCAAATGAACTCAAACGCAGGCAAACACATTATCACCTTTTCATCTTTGCTGGCATGCGATGACTAAAAACTTGTTCAATTTAGATGTACAGTATATTATGAGTGAATGTTAATGATCAAAGTCTGAATGAGTTTAAAGTATGTTGGTTTTATTCTTTTTATGCTTGCTGACATTTTAATAAAAAAGATAGCACTTGAAATCTGTCCTTCCACTAAATCTGTTTTTTTACATCACCGTTCTGCAGTTGTTAGGTGTTATTTAATAAAAAAACAATGTTTCAATGAGACTATAAAACATTGCAGATAAAGATTAGAGAGAAAAGAATCAGTGTAAACAGTGAAATAAAGCAATTTCAAAAGGATTTGTTTAATGAAATAATTTGCCGCCTCTTTACCCCCACGAGCTCAGTACTCTTCATGTAGACGTGATGCTTTAAATCATGAGTCTATTCATTAGTTTCAGTTGCTGATGAGTCTCGTCTACTTTCTTCAGAAGACTTTTTTTTTTTTTTGCACTAAATTACATCTGGGTTGTTCAGCTCTCTTTCTGCTATTATCTCACAATAACAAAGATCTCATTTGGAAACAGAGCAGGACCAGAACAGATAACAAACAGACTGATTCGTGTTGGAAACTGTGACAAAAAGGAGCCAGGTTGTATTTACTGCACTTTATATATCCTCTTCAGTTCATGCTTGTATCTTAGTTCAGTTTTTGTACCACACCTGCATCTCATTACCCTTTTGTTTCTGGGGCTGTTTTAAAATTTCTTATTAAAGCATAAACTTTACACCCCCGCCATGACTGTATTTCAAAAATGAAATAGTACTTTATTGATAAAAATTGCAGCAAGTCTTCATCGTAAGGAGCTCTGCTGTCACAGGACCAGCAGTTGGGTGAAGCTTTTATTGTTTTAAAGGAAGCTGCTTTCATTAGAGCAGTGATTATTTGTTTGAGGGACAGTACGGAGGTATTTTTGTTCATCATTCACCGTCTTTTCTTTAAATTTACAGCTTGGACGAGCGGTTTTATTCTCCCAGTGGACGCAATTAGTAGCTTCAAGGAATACTGCAAATGTTTGTTCCAGTCTTCTGACATACTTACAGGTATTGGAACGTACGGACAGATTATGTAACGAGCAGCATGCAGTTATTTTTCTTGTCCTTTATGCAAATATAATGAGGGTGGATTATAAAGAATGTCTGAGGATGCCTGCTCACCTGTGCTCTGTGTCGTGGTGGTTAGCCGCTTAGCGGGTGGTGTGGAAACAGCAGTCAGCCTTGTGTCAGCATCTTCATCTGCAGCGGAACTAAGCGCACCTTCATCTTCCTGTTTAACCTCTTTGCCTGGCAGCTCTGGGGACGACACACACACACACACAGTTTCACCTCTGAGTGATCTCAAAATGCCTGGGAATGAAATTTAATTTTTAAAGAACTGCGTCTTCGGTGTTGTCCGAGTAAAGCTGATCTGCAGACCCGGATCTCACCACGGGACAGTTTAACTCTCCCTGTTCTCTGCTCGGAGCACATCTGAGACTTAACTCTGAAGGAAGTGGGAAAACTATTATTCTTAACCCAGTTCTGTCAAGAGTCTGGCCTGTCATCCACATAGTTGTAGCCAGTCATCCATAGCTCAGAAGACTGGGCCTCTGTGGTCTAATTACGTTGACATCCTTTAGTGGATATGGATAGGCATGTGCATCCTGGTTTACTGCAAACCAAGACTCTTATAGTGCGACTGGAGTTGAAGAAAAAACATCATATAAAGTGCACAAAGAGAGAAACAGGAGTTCAAGAATTACCTGCATATCCAAGTGATTACCACATGTTTAAATGTTTTACAGCTACACAAATACAATAAGCATTACCCTCACTTTTGGAAAAAGTTAGAACATAAAAGTAAGTAGTACAAATAAGAGCAATGTGCACCAAATTAGAATATTTGGCAGCTGGCCCATAAGAAGACTTGGTACAAAAATATATATTTTAAAGAGGCTGAATGTGGAAGTAAAGACGAGTGGAGCTTCACCAGTCTGCAAAACTGCATCTAAGAATAGTGGAACAGTTTCACAATAATGTTCCTCCGTGGAAAATTGGGAAGACTTTGATCATCTTCTATACAGTTCATAATATAAAAAGATTTCAATAAACTGGAGAAACCTCTGAGGAAAAACAAGGCAGAAAGTTAAAATTGGACAGCCATAATCTTTGGGCCCTGACTGCATTAAAAACAGGTCTGAACGTCACTCAGCACTGCTTTTTTTTTTTTTTTTTGATTCTGATTGTGTTTATGCTTTTTGTTTTATTCCTATTTAACACATGCCCATCTGATCTGATTTAGTATTTCATTCTTTCTAAGTATGTTTTGTGTTTTTATGTTTTATTCCATATGCTGTAATTGTATCTTGTTCCTTTTTATTTGATGCTGTGATCGTTTTGTTAAGCGCTTTGGTAACAGTTTCTGTTTTAAATGTGCTATATAAATAAATCTAACTTGACACAGTGGGTTCAGGAACGCCTCCACAAATCAGTGTATGTAAACACAGTTCACTGTGCTGTATCTGCTGATTAAATCTCTATATCATGCAATGAGTGAGCGAACACTATCCAGACACGCCTCCGTCTTCTCTGGTGCACAGCTTATTTAAAATGTACTGAAGCAAAATGTTAAACTGTTTTGTGGTCAAATCAAAGTTAGGGATTATTTTTGGAAACCAGGTCATACATATTTAAGAGGAAAAGAACCGTAGCCTGTTACCAGTGCACCGTTCAAACAAAAGCCTGCCTCTCTAATGGTATTGGGGTGCATTGGCAGCTTATACATATGAAGACAGCATCACTGAAGAAAACTATACAGGTTCTAAAACAACACATAAGATGTCTTTTTTCAGAAAAGAACTTGGAAATATCCAGAAAGGTCTAAACTACACACTGCTTCTGTTACAGGAGCATGGCACGTGTGCTCATCTGTCCTAGACCTCTTCCCAAATTCAGTTTTCATTCTAAAATTTCTAAATGAAAAAGATGAAATGCATTATTCTAAGATGGTTTCAGTGTGGTAGTTATCATCCAATGTATCATCTTTTACTACACCGCATTACAAAATGAAGACGTTGCGCTCAATTTCATCATCTATCTTTTAAAGCCTGAGCAAGGTTCAGACAATAATACAAGTATGCGTTTCTTATAAACACACCCTATAGAGATGTGTTAACAAGCAGAGCAGGAGGGAGCAGAATGAACATATTTAGGTGAATAAAACTGAAAATCTGCAGCTCACTGTGACTTCTGTTGCTTCTGGCAGATTGCATCACATGTTCGTTTTTCTCAGTCTGAAATCAGGGCACGAAATGGTTTTCATTACGGTGTTGTGGTTCCATTTGGAAATATGTTTCATGTTCAATCACGCTGTGAACAGTGTATTAAATAATATGTTGGGTTAAATATGAGATTATTGTAATATTTAACCTCCCACAGCATTTTCTTTGCATTTAAGCACAAATTTCTGTGTGGGAAAAAAAAAAGTGGATGCAGTAACTGTGTTACACGTTAAATCCATGTGTGAATCTGTTTTCATAATCAATCAGACTGTTACTGATCAATAGTATTTTTCCCTTTAATTCATATAGGGTCCAAATATGCTGGATGGTAATAGCCTTGAAATAGAAGAGGGACGGTATCGGTAGAAGGAAGTATAGAAATTTTATAGCTATGGTTCTACCTATATTCCCAGTATTCTTGCTCCCCCATCCCCCCAGTATATATATATATATATATATATATATATATATATATATATATATAT